AACTTTAAAGCATTTGTAACTGAGCCCTTTTGTCTTTGTTTTCTTTTTCTGGTTTCATGTCAATAATGTTTAAAACTTGTCCTGAAAACCACCTAGCACCAGGTCGCCCCACGTCCCCTACCTGAGGGCATTAGTTTCTATATGGCATTCCCTGAACAGCTGAGCCCGGGCTAAACCCTGTCTCGCCGCTACGCATAGGGTCTTTCGCTCTCCTGTCATTCCACGGTTCGTCCCTTCTGACATCTGTGACAGAATGGTGAGCCATTATTTGACCCCGCGAGCGGCGCCTTTTTTTCCGCAGCTTTTTTCTTTTTCTCTGGGCTTCTATTCTAATTGCTGGATATCACTATGATCACCCGTGTCTGTAAGCAGGTCCTGTACCTGGCTTTTCTCGGGTAAAATCTCTCCAATATCAATGATTGAATGTTGAGCTGGCTTCTTCTTCTTTGCATTTTCCCAGTTATGTGGGGTCTGCTTGTTTGCACCAATTTTTCCACTTCGTACAGTCTGCGGCATCTTGGCCGGTGACTTTTGCGAGGCACATGTCGTCTTTCAGCCGATTCAGCCAGCGCGTAAATGGTCGTCCACGGAGCCGGCGGCCTTCCACATTCAATTCGAGGGCGGTCTTTGCCCTTGAAGTGTCATTGCTGCAGAGCACGTGTCCATACCATCGCAGGCGCGATTCCCTCATTTTCTCAGTGATCGGGGCGACTCTGAGTGTTTTTCGCACCTCTTCATTCATGACATGGTCTAGTCTTGTCAAGCTGAGGGTCCATCGCAGCATCTTCATTTCCATCGTATGAAGTGCCTGTTCATGTTTCTTTGTCGTTGGCCAGCATTCAGTTCCGTATAGGGCCACTAGTCTGACCACTGAGCGGTAGACTTTGAAATTTAGGCGTAAAGGGATCTTGTCGCACAGTACTCTAGTGACCTGCCGCCATTTCATCCAAGCGGCGCTGACTCGCGTCTTGGAGTCTTGGAGGGTAGTGCAGTAGGAGTTGACACATGAGCCTAGGTACTTGAACTGTGTCACTTTGTTCAGTTGGACCCCACCAGCTGTGATTGTGCCATCAGTTTGATCACCGCATTCCAGGTACTGTCGTGTTTCACTTGCTATCATAACATCGTCAGCATACAATATCGTCCATGGATGCCTCGTTTGGATATCTTTGGTGACTGTATCCATGCAAAGTATGAATAGCAGAGGAGACAAGGCTGAGCCTTGGTGGACGCCAACATTGTTGGGGAAGGTGTCTGAGTTTCCCGCTGCGCAACGTACTGAGCTAGTGGCCTTTTGGTACAGGAGCTTTGTCCACCTGACATAGGCTTCGGGGACGTGGTGCTGTCGCAGCGCCAGCCAGATGAGATCGTGTGGTACCCTGTCAAATGCCTTTTCCAGGTTGAGAAATGCCATGTGGATTGTTTTCCTCTTCTCATGGTGCCTTTCCATCAGTAGGCGGGCTGTGTGTATGGCGTCTGTGGTTCCGTTTTCACAAAGCCGCATTGGTTTGGCAAGATATCGACGATGGCTCTTAGTCGTGCTCCAGCACACGCTCGAAAATCTTCATTGTATGGCACAGCAGCTGGATTGGCCTGTAATTGGAGCGGTCATTAACATCGCCTTTACGTTTGCAAATTGGCACTGTGATGCTGGTTTGCCACGTTTCCGGGGGTGCCTTTTCCTCAGTGATCTTATTGAAGAGGTCCGCAAGCCATGCTGCTCCTTGTGTTCCAAGGAGCTTCCATACTTGGGCTGGGATGTCGTCTGGGCCACTTGCTTTGCCACTTTTCAACTTGTTGATGGCGGTGGTTACTTCTGCAATTGTGGTGGTGGGTACTGGGCCGGAGATGGCATCGGCTGCTGGTAGTGGAAGATGCGGAAATTCCTTGTTGCATATTTTCTCGAAGTAGTCCGTCCAGCGCTGGAGGATGTCTTTTGGCTTCTGCAACATCTGTCCATTTTCACCTTTGATGTTGATAACGTGTCCTAGGTCTTGTGTGGCGCGGTCGCGTGCACGGGTGAGTTGGTAGATCTTGTTTGCCCCACCAGGCGTGTCCAGTTGATCATAAAGGTCCTGGTAGTGCGCCACCTTTGCAGTCCCCATGGTTCGCTTTGCGGTGGATTTCAGTGCACGGTATCGTACAAGATCTTCTGAGCATTTTGTCTGCCGCCAGGTCTTGTAGGCGTCCTTTTTTGCCTTGGTTGCCTGCTGGACATCGTTGTTCCACCACCAGGTCTGTTTGTCAATAAAGCGCCGGTTTGGTTTTGTGGTTCCCAGGGTGGTTGCGGTGCATGTCTTGACGTGTTCAGCCAGGTCGTTCCAATCTTCGCCGACTGTTGATCTTGAATTGGGCACCAATGGTCCTAGTGTCGCCTTCACGACAGCTCGATGTTCTGGTAATTTCCACCATTTGATGCGTTCAATCTTGGTGGTTGGTCGCACCGGGGTTTGGACTAGGCGGACTTTGGCATCCAACACCAATAGCCGATGTTGTGGGGCGATGCTGTTGTACGGGATTACTTTGGTGTCAGTGACCATTT